CAAAGTTGTATTGAGAAAGAATAAATTAGTTTTATTTAAGAAAGGACTTGTATCGCTGAAGTTCTTCGAAATTATTTTTACGGGAAATTAACAAACGACCAGAGACGTAACAATATGAAACAAAAATTAGTTTAGTAATATTCTGTAAATCAGTAACACTTTGTAAAATGTATAAATTACGGAAAAAATAATCATATCAGCAACATAATAAACTATTGGAGTAACTGTAATACAATACATAAACCTTTCTGTGGTAGTGAAAAATTTGTGAACATGTTAGAGCACCTACCCACAATTAGCCTCAGAGTTGCTTTTCTTGTCTACTGACTTCTTAGCAAAATCTTCACTACATTTTTTAATATTCTTTCTTCCATAACACCCTCCTCCTGCCCAATATTCTGTAATGAACAAATTTTCTAGTAGTTTTTTATAAACTCTATCTTAGATTTACTCATAAGTTATAATCTTCCTGTACTGAAAATCTTTTGCCATAGGTACTTACCTCTACTCACATAAATAGCTATTCTCGTTCAGTGCTGCCCTCTATATGCAAAATTCTTTTCGCATGCCACAAGCCTTGAGCTCCCACGTACTCCAGGATCAACGTGGTTCAACTGGGTCTCGCATACAAATAAAATCATCATGCAACAAACCTCCACCAATAGGAGTGCGATACACCCTCCTGACGCATGTGACTCCCTATATTCGATTCTACCGAACTATCACTTCGAGTTTGGGCAGAAAATGGAAGCGCCAGTTTTCAATGTGGAGGAAGAGTGGGAAGTGTGAGCCAATGTAAGTACCTATCAGAAACATTTTCTGTATAGGAAAATTATAACTTCCGACATGGTACATTACCTCCTCTCACAAAAATAGCTAGAATCCCACATTGAATAGGTGGAGGGACTGGTGCATGGGAAAGAAAGAAACATCTTTTGAAATCATCTGAAGGACACCCTAAAGGAGTAGATCCTTGCAGTAGAGGATCATACATGGGAGATCACACCACTTCTATACCAGGTATACAGAGGTGTTGCAGATATGGGCGGAAACTGGAAGGATCACATCCAAAAAGGAGAGAACAATGGTTGGATAAGGATCTGAAACACATTATTGGAATCTCAATCCGATAGAGTACATCAATGTGGGTGAGAGTGAAAGGCTGTGCCTCTAAGTTTCAAGAGGCGAGGGCATGATGGACCATATACGGCAAGCAAATCCCAGCTGCTGGGAACCAACAGTCATGTGGGGGTAGGAAAGAGAATCATACCGGCAGCAAGTCAATTACAAACCAAAACCCATACCATACTCTCAACTGAGTGGTTTTTATCATTATTTGTATCATATATCATTATCACATTCAGGAGGATGCCTCCATGGTCCACCACCACAGTGGCTTGGAAGTGTAAAGTGATAAGGACTCCCATACTCCACTGGAAGAAAAAGTGGTGGAGAGTCTGGAGGAACATCAACACTGGAGACAATGCAATGGGTGACCACAGAAACCCTATTTTGAAAAGCAAACCATATCTGATTTTTTTTTCAATCAAAGGATGGCAGGGATGGGCAGCTATCTCTTTCTGCTTTACCCAGGAAGTTCATGGATGAGTACAGTCTGGAATGGACATATTAATGAAGCAAATATATCACGAGGAAAAACCTACGAGTGATCTTGTGGAACACCCCATCTCAACAGTGTGTATTTAATAGCCATGGAAATTATAATTGTTAAGCCATCTTGACGTTACAGTGCAGATTTGACTAGTTTAAGTATACCTGGACAGGCACCACTCGCCACAGAGCAGGACCCACAAAGAAAAAAAAAGGGACATGCCCCTGAAAAATAAGAGGTGTATATATATAAAGGATCTTACCCAGTCACAGTCTCACTGAAGAGTAAAGGATTGTGACAGGTGGAAGATGGTACCCCAATCAGGAAGAAACAGCTACTCGAGGCAGCTAATGGGAGATAAATGTATGAGGTGTAGTCCCAGTGCTCAACGGAAAAAGTACCTCCAACGTATAATGAGGGTGAGATGCAGGTAAAAGGGAAGGTGCCTAATCAGAGTGAAGACACCAGTAATTGATTATGGGGGAAAGGAGACAAGGAAGAAAAGGCCAATCAAATCAAAAGCCGAATCCGAAGGGTAAGGGAGGAAGAAAAACGTCACAAACAAAGGAATGGTACCATAGAATGAAACAGCAGGAAAAGAAGTAGAAGGCAATGAAGCAACACAGAACAGGTACGAGACCTATAAGACCAACCAGATTCAACTGGGATTAAAGGTGGGAGATGGAAGGAAATAAAGAAAAGGAACAACATGTCCCATGAGCTGCCAAAATGAATGGTAGGAAAAATCGATCAAGAAAAAAGAGGACAGCTTAAGCTGAAGCAGCTGAGAAAAATTAGATCTGTGTTGGCCAGGAAGGAGCAATCAGAAAGACCTGTTGCAGAGTGACAAAGATGAGGGAAATCACCTGGGAAAGATGATGAGTGAAATGAGAAAATAAAGGTATAAACATGTCCCAATCCTGCCTGAATGCATCAACAGCCAAGGCAAGTGGATGAGAAACTGGAGACAAAGGCATACAAATCTGAAACAAGCTCGAGGGGCAAGGTTCAAAAATAGTAACGAACCCCATGGTGAAGAAACTAAAGACAGCACCACGAGGGATTTAAGATAGGAATGTGGGCACAAGAAAGCAAAATGCCGACTGTAGGCATCCTCAGTACTGGAGAAAAGGCCCACCATAGTGTGATAAAAGACAATATAGAAAAAAGGGAAAGAAACAATAAATGATTGAGGTGGGACATATCAATCACAGAACTCTAATCTATATTAAGAGTACACAACTAATGGAAGAACTTTTAGATGTAGGACATATAAATGACGAGAACAATACTGTCAGTATGGTAAAAAAATACGATAGGGAACGATACTGTCAATATGGGAAAATACACAATAGGGAATGTTACTGTCAATATGGTAAAATACACGATAAGGAATAGTACTGGTGATGTGGTAAAATAAAATGGAACATAAATAAAGAATGCAATGTCCAAAGAGACAAACGAGCAACCAAAAAATAAAAAATATAATGTAGCAATACAGATACCCCATGTGATGCTAAAGTCACAGGAGTAACACCCCCACCCCCACCCAATGGACCAATGGAGGAAAAGAGTCGTTGGTAAGACCCAGTTAGAAGTGGAAAGGAAACGAATTTGGTACAAGACAGTGTCCCACCCCAGAACACCTCAAATGCAAAGAAGCCATGTTTGTAGGAAAAGAGCCAAAGATAGCAATCACCTAAACATGGGGGTAAGGAGGAGAAAGGTATCCCACGAAAATCCCAAAGAAATAGATGGAATGCCTCAGAAAAGAGATGTATGCCAGCCAATTCCAGTAGGAAATGCGATTGGGGAAGACAAAGGCTGGAAAACTTTGCTAGGGAGAAAGGGATAAGATTAAAATATTCTGGCCTCCTCTATACAGGCAACAGAGATTCAAAGTGTAGAGAAGCAAGAAAACAAAACACAATCTGCCTGATGGTAAGCTAAGGCATGCCAGCACCATCTCTCAAAAGAGAGACAAAATGGCCCAGCATGAACCAAAATGTCTGGAAAAAGAGGGAAAAGTAAAAACAACAACTGTGAAGTATGTATAAAATGGGCTGAGGTAGGCCTATCAGAATCCACAGTAGAGGCCTGGAAAGGCCAATACAGAATCAGGTGGAGGAAAATTGTTAAAATAGACGTCGTCCTGAACAAGATCAGCAGTTTGAGGAGGAAGGCGAGAAATAGTGCTAGAAGGTTGGGCAGACCCCAGACCCAAGGGTCCTAAAAAACGAAATTAACTGTAAGAAGTATAAAATATAATTAATTACGAAAATGAAAAAGTCGTTACATTGTAAAATTAAGTGTATACTGACAATACAATTTAGTACATGGTATTTCTTGAAAAAACAATATATTTAACCTAATTTACGATTCACCAGTAAGATGTGTGTGCCACCAAACTCGAATCTCCCAATGTATTCAAGCTGACAATTCCTCAGTGGAGTACAGCCACCTGAAGCCTATGTACTTGTGCTAGAAATAAATGATTACGTTTTCGAAGTGGAAACATAAGCTTCGGTGAAAACTAAAAAAAAAAAAGCGAAGAACAATAAAGGTAAGTTATCACTGAAAGCAGGTAAACTGAAGTAGAAAAAAAATCACCAATTTGTATGTCGCACTCCTCCTATTAGTGGAAGGTTGTTGCATAATGATTTGCATGCGAGACGCAATTGAACTCCGTTGATCTTGGGGTACGTGGGAGTTCAAGGCTTGTGGCATGCGAAAAGAATTTTGTATATAGAGGACAGCACTGAACGAGAATAGCTATTTATGTAAGAGGAGGTAATATAGCGTATCGGAATTAATGTTTTTTACTGTAGTCCTTTATATGCTAATATACTTCCAACAAGAATTTCAGAAATAACTGTAATTTAAGGAACAATAGCTGTCTTGTTATTTACAACAGGTAAACATTCATAACTCATTTTAGCATTTAAAAATATTTATATGTTTCAATTATCATATGTCTCTTGAAACCAATGTATTTAAACCAACTTTTAAGTAAACTAATTACTCAGGATAAACCCAGATTAAACACAAAAGAAAAAGAATTTTCATAAAAACATATATTAGAGATTTTAAAATCCTGGCTGACCACAACTCAACCTGCCAGAGATGTTCATTTCATTACACGTACATGTAAAATCTAAATTCATGGTATCTAGATAGGTTGTTTAACTCAAATCCTTTTTTTTAACAGGGTGGTTAGCCTCTGGAATGGGTTGCCTTCGGGTGTTGTGGAGGCAGTAAATTTAAGTGAGTTTAACAGAAAGCTTGATGACTATTTGAATGATAAAGGCTGGCTTCAAGATTTTAATTTAATTTTATTTTTAATTTATTTATTTGATAGTTTTAGTTTAGTTTAAAAGAATAAAATAGTCGATATGGACCAATGGGTCCCTTGTCATCCCTAAACATTATGTTATGTTCTTTCAGAATTTTGTATGCTGGATTTAATATTTCATACAGCAACTTATGTATAAAATGAATAGAAATTAACAATATAAGCTTTTTTATTTGTAGTTAAGCACAAAGCTACACAATGGGCCATCTGTGCTCTGCCCACCACGGGAATCGAAAGCCGGTTTCTAGCGTTGTAAGTCCGCAGACATACCGCTGTGCCACTGGGGGGGGGGGACAATATAAATCTAGTAAATTGAAGTTTACTTGATGTCACCACTTGGCCACAATGGCCTGCACTCATTTTATTTAAAAAAGAATTACTAATTCAGATGATCTGAAACTAGTCATTATAAGAAGATGATAAAGAATACCAATGTGATCTTTATGTCAGGTAATTTAAATTTTTCATATTAACCCTGACAGAGCATGCAAAAAAACTGTTTATGAATTCACTTAAAAATTCATCTATCTGATTCAACATCTGTTAGCGTTTAAGTTATAAAACACGAACTGGTGAATTTGAATAAAACAAACACATAATTAATAAATGATAATAGCAGGTATTATTAATGTTCATAAAACTCATTCTAATTATAATTTTGTCAACCAGCAAATGATCTGTTGGCTTCACAACAAACTAACTGCACCTCATTACACATAACTCACCATCCACGGAATCTTCTCCTTCACAAATATAATGAATGTCATTTCTGGTTTGAATAATTAGATCACTTAATTGATGCCTTTGGTTGGGTTCCAGACAAATCTTGGAGTAGTTGAAGATACAATTCATGTTATTTCTTAACTTTCTGTAGAGAATTATTAAAACAAATTAATAACATAACATAGCATATCATTCAAAATGCATGTTTTCAAAAAAGTGTAATAAGTTAAATAATATAATGATCATTTACACCTGATTTTTTTAAAAGCGCTCTTCACAACACTTAACGAAAAACTAGATGTAGACTGAAGATCTACCAATTTTTTGATTGTTATTAAATATTACTAATAAAATCTATTTAAAAAGATAAAACTGAAATACAGTTAACTGACGTTTCTGATAACAGTTTTCTATACTTATTTATTTACTAATGTCCATGCATACCCAGTGTAATACTAATAGGTGTGATTATTTTCGCACGAGTGGACGTAAAGCGCTTCTAAAGTGGATCTAACATTAGCCAGTTTTCTGAATGGGTCGTCATCTTGGTCATTGATATAAATTGAATGTCAGAGTATTTCATAGCAATAGCAAAGAATGAGTGATACCATAACAAGTCCTAAGTACATCTAAATACAAAAGATAAGCCTAAACATGAAAAGCTAGGGGAGATCTATAATTATTGTGTTTGTGATAAAATAACATTTAAGTTACAAAAAAAAATCAGTTAAAGTAACGTAAAAAATCAGAAAGTAACGCTAAAAATTATGAATGTTTTCAACGAAATAATTTAATTGGAGTCATAGCATATTTTTAAGCTTGTTGCTTAAGGCTGGGTTTTTCTTTACTGCAGAGTCGGTATTAGAGGTAATTAACCCCAACTTTACTTCTTTAGATGTGACAGTGTTCGTAAGTTAGCATGCACAAGATATTATTCTGCGGTTGTTGCTTCAACTGATTTGTATATCCACTGATACTATCCCACGAGCAATTATATATATTAGATTATAAAAGTGGTATTTAGTGACACATATTGAAAAGTTATTAATTTCAAAAACGATATTAAAACGATTTTAGAGCCTCACTACGTCGTTGCAGTCAATGTCAATTGGTTCGGCCACGCTCTATCTGACGACCGTGATATTGACAATAGCCCAACAGGGTAGTTTCTTTCGTAAAAGGCTTCAGCATAAGGCTATTATGTCCAAATCACACCACTCATCCTTACTTATTTTCCATAATCCATCTAATGTACAAAAGTGGATTGACATTAAAAGACCAACCTGGACAATATCATATGCTGAATATTGGCTAAAGAATAAGAATTTTTAAGAACGTGTCAAATGCACCGACCCACCAGGCAATTGCCTGGTGTCCTGTTGGGTCAGTCCATCCCTGCTAAAGTACGAGAAAGAGGATTCCCCCAGTGCCCATTTTAGCAATCCTATGGCACAGAAATTCATAGGCACAGCAAGTTTTCCTATGGAATAGCATGAATACCCGTTTCCTTCTCCAGCTACTTGAGGTACGCGATGGTTGAACGGATTTGTTGTGGAAGTGACTTGTGTCGCTTTACCACACAGAGATCATTCTTAATTATGCAACTTAATATTGCCTGGGGTGCTTAAACGGCTTTTGCTACTTACCTTTGTGTTCATGGATTATCACCTGTACAAAATGCTGCAAATTGCTTACCCAGGTGGGACAGGATTCTTTCTGGGATGTTTCTGGTGCCCCAAATTGATCCATATTCCTTTGTGTCTCCAACATCATTAAGTACAAGTGATATGACAATTCTAAATCTCCGATCACATCTTTATGACCTGAGTATACGAATATTTGCGTCGGAAAGAGTTATTACTTACTCTTTCTTCTGTATATCGCAGTTATTAAATTATGTTACAATACGTCAATCAAATAATGAAAAGTACAAGAAAAGAATCACCTAATAACCAAGGTTACAGCTTACACACTGTCCTCACACATAAACCAGCTATTTGCTTAACCAACAATAATACTAACGAATCATTTGTTTGGAAAATATGAATTAGGTCTGATGGTGCCCCTACACTCAAGATCAAGGTGAAATAGAAGCTGTTAGTTTCTTCCGATCAAAGGAATAGAAAAAATAACAGCAATTATTGAGGATTTCACTTCTGGGCGCATTTTTAATCATTAGAGCAAGGTGTAACATTGTGCAAAATAATGGAAACTTTTCTCACAGTGGTGTAATCTTATGATTTATCTGGTTCAATGCTTGTTCTTCAATATAACCTTTGTAGTTACTAAAAATCAGCATCATTAAAAAAATAACCCACTGTTTGTTTAGAATCTTATGATTTATCTGGTTCAATGTTTGTTCTTCAATATAACCTTTGTAGTTACTAAAAATCAACATCATTAAAAAAATAACCTACTGTTTGTTTAGAATCTTATGATTTATCTGGTTCAATGTTTGTTCTTCAATATAACCTTTGTAGTTACTAAAAATCAACATCATTAAAAAATAACCTACTGTTTGTTTAGAATGTTCGAGAGAAGTTGAACAAGGGCTATCTACGTATAGCCGTCATAATTTTGAAATCACAGACTAGGGGGAAGGATACACAGTCAACAGAATAGTGGGATTTGAATGTCACACAGATTCATAGCCCGGGTATGCTAATCATTAAGCCACGCCCGTCTTACGACTCCCAGTAAAAGCAATTCACGAAAATCGAGAGATTTTAGCGTTATGGATAACAAATGAGAGTAAAAAATAAGCGTGGTATCTTCTAGTCCAATGTATTTACACAGGAATATACTTCGATCTTATTGTGACTGTATATTTATTTGGCGGTTTTAATGTTATATATATATATAAATTAGCCCCGAAAAAGCTATTCCATTTAACGTTATCCAATGAAATGCGTTAGTTCAGCGACCTGGACTGTTAACGTTTATTAAAATGTGACATGTTTATAAGTTCCACGAACTTTATTCAAAATCTTCCTTACATTTATGTTTTAAGTAACCGGATCCTTTAACGCTCATGAAAAAATAACAGTAATAAAAAAATCTCTATATTTTATATGTGAAAATTCCCATGGTGCTGAACATTCACATATAAATTATCACCGTGAGTGAATAACGATCGCACGGCATTTTGTTGCGCGTTGCTTTTAGCGTCTTAGCAGAGTTAGGCACTACCAAAAGTTGCACAACATTGCTGGAATTTACCGCTGAAAAAAAAAGTTCCCCATATGTATGTGTGTGTTTTTTGTTTGTTTAGTTTGCGCTTTTACAAAGACCTTGATGGCGGATCATATTCTTTTAAACTGGTTAAGTTAGCGGCACACATCAAAATAAAAACATCATAGTTTCTCAGCGTGCTGTTTAATCATTACGTGTTGGTAAGGATCTTCGGACCACTAGCTGTTTAAAAGACTTGTAGTCTCTTGGTGTCATGAGCTGTGGAAAGTAGTACATGTAGTACTTTAACCCACCATGTAATGAAAACTTACTCACTGGACACTTTTGAAAATTAAGGACTACAGCAGATAGTCTTAATAGCTTTGCCATAAATACAAATACACTAAAAAGTTTTTTTTCAGTTCCTAACATGCAAAATTCAATACATGTGAGCATCTCAAAGATAATCTTATGCAGTGTGCAACCTATATATCTATCTATCTGTCAGTTATTTTGATGAAAAATAATTTCTATAGAAATAATTAATCATCATGGGTGCTCGAAGATTAAGTAATCTTCCTTCGCCCCCCTCGAGGCTGTGAAATTTTGAATTTAGCACGTGGATTAGGCTTTCATAGGCTAATTGAGATTATAGAAATTTAAGAGAATCAAAAGAAAAAAGACCCTAGCTAAGCGAGGCGTGAGGATGGCAGAAGTGCAGGCAGGCGATTTTGAGACATGTAGTTGTGATGGAGAAGAAGAGAAGTCGACTCAGACAAAGTATGCCAACAAACGGGCCTGGCATGATCAATAAATCCAAAATGTCTAGAAAATATGTAACATTGAACAGTTATGAACTTCAGCTGAGATCATGAGACACAGCCCCAATTTTAATAATATTATGAAATCAAAAACTGATGAGTATGTATGTAATTGACAAACAAAAACTATAAATTACGCTTGCGTCTACATATACACAGAAAATGACAATAAATCGCATTCTCGTTAACTTACATACTCTATGAATAGTTGATAGAGACAGGAACGAGTTCTTTATTTCCCCGAAAGGGAGCCGAAACCCACCTATTGGGGTCACCTGTTTTAACCACTCGCATCAATATACAGAAGTGTGTTGTCTGTCAGTCAATAAACACTAAAATGACGTCACATAAGGGACGATTAAAGTTGCATCTTGTACTGTCGTGAAGTCAGTAAAATGTGTGCATGTCATAAATCACGAGAAGGCTTATACAGTCTGTAGGCTACAACACAACATTACATATGAACTTCAAAAGAAGAAAATAAAATATTTATTACTCTTAATTTCAGTTTTATTTATTCATTCTTGAAACAGAAGACTTTAAAGGACCCTGCGGAAGTACATCAAGTCCAGTAACATATGTTGTAAAAACGTTTATACCATTTAATTCTATGCCAGTCCTATAAATAGATTGATTTTCTCTATTCCTCTCCAGCAACAATCATTAAATATCCTACAATTAAACATATCTATAATGACATGATAAACCTTATACTATAAAAATGAAAATCTTCTCTACTGGAACTCTGAAGAAAATGTAATTTCAGTACACGTTATATATATATATACACACACAAAGAAGTGTAAACATTTTAAAAATAAAAATTAGGAAGTAGGAATGGGAGCACCAAAAAGTAAGGAAACAAGGTTGAAATGGGTGGAACAACATTACAACACTTGGTGATTTTTGACAAAGTGCAGCCTCAAAGTGGGTGTGGCCATCATTTCGCCCATTCTTACTAAGTCTCGTAAATGACTAGGCCTTAGGCTTATCCTTCTCGTAGCTTTTCTTGCTGCTAAGTCTTGAGAATGTCAGGGCTCTAGGCTTATCATTCTCATAGCTTTTCTTAGAACTATCTCTCGACATTCCCTGGCTTTTGCTGATATATTTTCTATAATTTTTCTTCCATATAGCGAAGGTGGCAACCTTTGAATTGGCTGGATTAATGGCTAAGGCTTGTTTCGCATATTCAGCATTACTATTTCTAACTTTATCTCTACTCTTGCAGTAATGCTCTCTTTCCCTGGTCATAAACTTTTCAAGGTTATAAACATAATATTTTCTTCTTTTCTCTCCTTTTGTTTTCTCAAAAGGCATATTTTAAAGTTCACACTGTTTCAATTACGACATTCGATGTCAATAGGTCACACTTAGTTTGAAAGCAATGCAAAGGTAAATTGTACAACTTAGCATTCTTGTTTTCAGTCCAGAGCGCTTATATAAAGCCGTATCGGCAGTGGTAGCGTTCGTTCTCACGTAGGAGACTCACGTCTTATGCATCGACTGCTCTGGTAGAATTGCTTTGTCCAACACAGAACCCTCGAGTCAGATGTATAGAGCTGAAAACTTCGCTTTCAAAAATTACATCATAGAACCTAGATCTAGAGATTTTACGTAGTCCATGTTTTTTTTTTTGTTTTTTATCTAGCTGATACAGCTGCTGATCACATAGCGCGTGCGCATAAGCAATCATGCAGCAGGAAGTGTTATGAGGTTCGATTGTTACTTTACAACTCACAGAGCGTGCTCTTGGGCATAGAATATGGCTACTAGTGTATCGTTAGCTCGTTAGTAGTGTTGCAAAATGGTTATTGTTATAAGTTAAACTAAAAAAACGCTTTTAGTCAAGGTAGCGTAATTCAATCATGTGCATTTAGATTTGCATAAGGTAAAGGCAAGAGGGAGTTATGTTTTTACAACAACGTTAGTCGTTCAGTCAAACAGATTGACAAATTTGTGGTTTTGTGAAATCTACGTTTACTCTACCGACTTTCTCAAGTAGTTTGATGGCTTGTTACTCTGGATTTGGTTCGTTTACTACTCAACAATGTGTGTAAAGTGCTTAACAAGTTTTGTTTACATGCTGTTTGCAGTGCGTTTCATATTTTAACTTGTATTGCACATCTGGCTCATTCCTACTATAAGTCCTACTGTACTTATTATATACATACATAAATCAACAAAATCCTGTATTTCAATGTTAACTCTATCTATAAGTTGGGTTTGGTTGTTGTTAAACACAAAACTACACAATGGACTATCTGGACTCTGCCCACCTACAGGTATCGAAACCCGTTATAAGCTTACAAACTTACTGCCGAGCCACTGGAGGGCACTTACGACGAGTCAGCAGTGAGTTTATGGACTTACAGTGCTAACATCAGAGGTTCGATTCACCGTGGCGGACAGAACGCAGATAGCCCATCTATAGTAAAGGTATACAAGGGATGTTCACCTATAAAAATTGTAACAAACCACTGTTCTTTAGTTCTTATTTACAGTTAAATCAACAAATGCTAAACATCTACTGGGATTTGTTAATTGATCTTCGTAATTTGAGTAACTATATGATCAATAGAAGGCAACATAGTTCTGTAAGCATACTTACAACTGCACATGTATAACTTCAGGTTTCACACACATACGTTTAAGGGATGTTTTTAGAAATAATTGACTTATAGAAAATCAAAAATGATATTAAACAGTTTATAAAAAATGAGTAAATCATAAGCACTTTCATCAAGTTAGTTTAATTTAACCATAACCGTCTTTATTAATTACTATAAAGTTTGGGTGATTTCGGCCAATTGCAAAAGAGCAGACGAAGTCAGCTGTACAAACTAAAATTCAAATGACGATTTATTTCCGTCAAATTCTAAAAGTGACTTTTTCAGTACTTTTACATGTCTAAGCTTTACTTCATAGGCACAGTTTATAAATATTCGATTTATAAAAGTATTTATTGTTTACTATTACTATTACACGGCCTCGTCATTTCAAATAACTGGTCTTTATATGTTATATGTTCAATTTTTTTAAGTTAGTTTCGTTAATATTATCTGTTTTAATGTTTGAATATTGTTTTAACTTTTTACAAGACTGAAGATTACCTTGCACCGTTGGTTTATTATATCGATTTAGGACTAACTTAGTGGAAACCAGCTCGTAAGATATTGGGTTCAGGGCTAGAAATATATCCAACAGCAGGGTTACCCAACTGAATCAATGCATTATATTCGTTAAATGGGTTAATTTTCTTGGGTATTTATTTAAAATATTTGGTAATACATAATTGACCTTCATTAACTCATAAGTTACTTTTTTAGTTCTGATCTACACAGGTACCTGAATTTTCATCAGGTTTAAATTTGTTTTGATACGATTACGTTCAGTATATTACTTGGTTCATTGAAATCTTACTTGCATAATTTCATTATGTCGAGCTGTGATAAAGTCGCTTCATTAACGTCCCTATATTGTAGAACTGTTGCTTTGCAGGTTTCTAGATGATCAGTAGAACACTCATCGTGGAGTCTGGAGGCGGCTCCGGAACATATTACCACTAAAGAAAGAAAAAAAAACGTATGTTAAAGTTCTCAATAAAATATACATTCACGTACGAAGATTGTGTTTCTACCTACAAATGTTATCACAGTTAGAATTGTCGACAGGGTCCTATATGACCTCATCTGGTTGAATTATCGAAATAACTGGTTTTTTAAAGCATCTTTATTAACTATTTATGCCCAAACCTTGCTGTATGTCCATGACGTTTTGGTTTCAGGGTCCCTAATAACACAAAAAGTATGAATAAAATTACCGACTTTTACAATTAATTCTACTAAATACTCTGGAGCTTCTGATTTATTTTACGTAGATTTTACTGTATGTTTTTATTTGTTCTATAAAAAATGAATGTTAGGAAAGGTAAAAACACAAAACTGTTCAGTATGCCCAGTAATTTGAGTAACAATAGCAGGGCGATAATTTGAGGGTTATAGAAGTGGAAGTTTGATTTAAAGCCTTAGAATCATACATACCACTGACTTCTGTAAAGTCGAGTGTCGTATGAGGATCGTAGTTGTTTGTTATTAAGCACAAAGCTACATAAAGGGGTATGTGTGCTCTGCCCACCACGGGCATCGAAACCCGGTTTCTAACGGTATAAGGTAAAAGAAACATTACATCATAATAAAGCATATAGAGTTTAGATATATATTGTTTTTGAGATATAGATCACAATCTGACAAATAAATTTAATTTAAGAGAATATTTCTTTCATCTATTGGTTGATTACAGACGATGTATTCTAACGAAAATATACGTATTTTAGATAGCATAAAATTGAAAGTTAATTAATTTTTTTTAACAATCAAAGGGGGTTTGTGAAAGTTTTGTTTGTCTAAGCAAAGTGTGTGATCTCACAACTATTATTCCCGAAAACATTTTAAAGGGTCAGTAGATTTTTATTTGTTAACAGTTGGATGTAAGCTGAGATCATTGTCACGTTTTCGTAAAGTAAATTCGAAATTCATTACACCAGTAAACAACAATCTGTGTCTACAGAAGAAAAAAAAGAATTAAATAAAAACCAACCAAATACTAGATGAGAGTGTGACGTGTTTGTTTTACTAAGTTCATTTTTAGATGCTAAGCTGCCTGTGTTTTATTGAGCACCCCTTCTTTGTTTTAAATGTTCCCCCCCCCCCCATATAACCGTAAATAACAAGACCAGTGGACCAGTACTGCCCTAAGGTATAGTTAACCGGTTCACCTGCATGAATGTTGGAGGTCCTTACAGTGGTACTCAAAGGTATAAAGATGATTTTTTTAAAGGTTGGTACGCAGGAAAACGACTACATAGCTACTTTCTGTTTTTATAAAAAAAACCTACACCACTCATAAAAATATCACCCCACAATAATCGCACCGGTGAGATAAAGTAGCACCAATAATAATACTAACAGTAAAACTACAATGGCACTGGTAGTATGGACATTGATAAAAATTGCATCAAGTAATAATAAAGCGGGGTGGGAAGATATTTTTTCTTCTAATTAAGCCATTATAAAAATCATAATCACACAGTTTGTATACATATATAGTGCCTTACGGGAAGAAAGAGGGCCTTTTTTTTTACTTTGTTTCATTAGTTCTACTTTTGCCACCAGTGGCACAGCGGTATGTCTGCAGACTTACAACGCTAGAGTCCGGGTTTCGATACCCGTGGTGGGCAGAGCACAGATAGCCCATTGTGTAGCTTTGTGATTAATTACAAACAAACAAGTTCCACTTTTTCTTACTTTGCAGTCCACTGGTGTCACCAGTATGTTTACACACTTACAACGCTCAAATCCGGAATTCGATTTTACGCAGATAACCTATTGTATATTTTAACTAAAAAAAAAACAACTAAATGTGGCATGTTTTACAATAAAGAGCACATATCAAAGCTAAATTTTAGAATATTTTTATTATTGTACAGTTCATTTCAAAAAATTATTAACTGTGATTGATTTTTCATATTTGTTTTGTTCTGATTATGCAGAACAATTGCTAAAATCTGCAGCTAATGGATAACCTCAAGCACGAGCAGGTGACTGCCATTAATAACGTGTTACGTGCATGTAAAAAGTTTAGGAATTAACGTCAACACACGAGTTTGGGAAATTCTGGCCTTCAGAATTAATCATATAATAACAGAATAAAGCAGTATTTACCTTCATCGAGCATCATAGGCCTCTGATGTTAGTATCGTATTTCTAACACGCCCCTCAGGAGCCAAGGGGTATATTTACACTAGAGTTTGTTGAATATTAAAAGTAAGTTCAATCCGGAAACTCCCAAAAAGGGTGGTTTTGAACGTATCTTTTCGAGACAACTTTGACGGAATTTTTTGTTTATTAATTAATAAATATTTAAGTGAAATACACCATCCTCAAGTCTCTATACTAGCTAGTACTAAGGTCTACCCGCTGAGAGTAAATTCAGTATATATATATCTATAAAACCACATTCTCAGCATCATTAATTAAGCAGTTGCCAACTTTTTATGCTTCTGCTATAACCTTTTTATGTTTAGCTTTCAACTGAAATACGAACGATTTCACCTGCGATTCGGTAGGGAACGTCGAAGCATCACGATAGTCAGAAGTAGGATGAGCAGACAGAAACACTTTGAAAGCAGCTATGACATAATATTGTACTCGGTTTGCTGCACAAAATATACCAAGGTAGTTCTAAACGGTTTCTGAATACCTCTGCGCGTCATTTGGAGACTTCCTTGCTTCTTGTGCTTGGCTGTTAAGCTCGTGATGCGCTGACGGATTTCAATCACCTTACCACTTCAAATCACTTTTCGCGGCTCCAACGCTAAAAGAGTATGGGAAATGCTTTCGTTTTAGCCAATAAATATTTCTAAAAATTTCAGTTGAAATTAAGAAAAAACCGGATTGGGTAGTTTTTTTTGTTTTGTTTTTCAACAAAAATGTCCCCACTGGCTCGTGATGGGCCTGTTAAGTATACCACGCAAGAATTGGGTCAGGAAAAATAAAACTTCAAAGGATATTAACATACACATATTTTTATAATATTTGCTTCCAAAAATCATTAACATTTGATAATATAAATAATGTCTTAATCACTACTGTTTCTGTTGTGTTCCAGCCGGGCTGATGAGCCCTGTTAATGGGTTAAGGCCTCGTCGGCCTTTTATATAGCAGATTTAGGTAGTTGACATACTAATCTACTTTTTTCTTGACTTTCAAACTTTAAGTTCGTATAATATGGTCAGTAAGTTTTGCTCTTAATTTATCATGGTCGTAATTATTCTCAAAATTACAGATAAAATTAGATTTTACTTTGAGATTTGTAGTTGAATGTTTTTAAGTGATCGAATTGTTATTAGGCCGATCCAGAAATCACGTGTTTGCTTTGCAACTGTAAAATACTATTATTCATTTTTGTATTTGACTGCTGGAAGATTAAGACATGTGACTAGCCAGCTTATAATCACTATACATGTAGATGCGTCTTGAATATCCTTTTTAGTTCTTAACATTTTCCAGTTAGGATTTCCAGATTTATAATTTACTGAGTTAGTACCATTTATCGCCACCAGTACAACGTATATATTCAATATTGAGCTATTATAATCAAAACGATAGAATAAGTTGCACTGCATGCAGTTTATCCAGAATCATCTAAATACATTCAAATTACTTCTTGGTAGCTTCCACTGGGGAAAGTCGGTATTTTTCTTTCTTTGGTTCAACGAATAAACGAAATAAGTTCACAAAAGGAGTTACAAAGTTGTTTAGGTAAAAGAAATGTCTCTACAATGAAGTTTTTTTTTTTAATTCGTACGCAGAAATGGTTAAACACTTGGACGAATTTTCTCTTGTCCTGGCAAAATGCCATAAAATTATATTGTTAAAAAAGATTATTTCTTTGTAAGAATTAGAACGATAACCAGATGGAAAGAAAAATTATTTGTTCGCAGATACAGAGATGATTAATAGAAACTTATTTACAGAATAAAAATTTTTATTTCATTAGTATCCATTACCTCTATTTACTGCGTTGGGAGTTTAAAATAGAGCCCTGTTTACGCTCATAGAAAAATGTAAACCGTCTAAATAATAATTTACCATTATAACATTTTTGCAAAGAAATAATTCATCTATTCAAAATGAAATAAACTTTAGTCCAAAGTTTGTTGGAAGCGTCTACATTATTCAACTACTGTTATCAACCATCCAATCTTATTTCTTCGAAAAGTTTGAAAATCATATGTTCATCATAAAATTTTGATAATTCTATAACAACTTTATCTCTGTTAGTGCTGAACAATACATGCGTATGGGGTTTTTCAATGCTGTTAATTTGCTATTCTAACCTCATGATTTCCGAAAATTATTAATTGTAGGGTTTTCACACGTCACATAATTATTGTTCTTTTTCGTTAGTTTTTCTATTTTAGTTTTTTTTTTACTGTTTTACTTTTTTAACTTTTTTTATCAATATTATGTTAATGTAGATTCCTCAAGTATCATGACAACAACTTTATTGTACGTACATCTACATTAGCTTACCTCAAACATTTACAGGTAAGGTCCGGCGTAGCCAGGTGGTTAGGGCGCTCGAATCGCAATCTGAGGGTCGTGAGTTCGAACCCCTGTCACACCAAACATGCTCGCCCTTTCAGCTGTGAGGGCGTTATATTGTGACGGTCAGTCCCACTATTCATTGGTGAAAGAGTAGCCCAAGAGTTGGCTGTCTTCCCTCTAGTCTTACACTGCAAAATTAGGGACGGCTAGCGCAGATAGCCCTCGTGTAGCTTTGCGCGAAATTCAAAACAAACAAACAATTTACAGGTAATGGTGTATTATTATTAACGTATTATTCTGATATGTATGCAGGAATGGATTGATGGCTGTAATCTTTTAGCTGTTAGAAGTATCAACGACGAGGACCAATAATCGACTCTCGATCAACTGCTTAATAACAGGAACATGATAATAGTTGACTGGATGTGTGGCAAGTTGGTGGAAATGTTGTGAT